TTCTACGTGACTTTACCGAAAGAACCAGTAATATGTTACAGTGTATTGTCCGTTCTATTTCCATTAAAAACGATAGTCCCATATACGTGTTAACATCTTTTAAAGCACCCTATATGTGTGTGCTTTCCTTTTAAGGCAGTGTTATTGGAGCTTGTGTTGAGATTGTGTATTTTTTTGTGGCCGGTGCTTTGCGCGTTACTTCCAGCGCCGTTTCACAATTAAATTGCTTAATTTTAAAACATTTGACACCCCGCCGAGATAGCTTAGCTAATATTGTTTTTTAATTAGCCCGGGGAAATGTGATGATGTGCGGGAAGTTTACAGTACTCGATTGTAACTATTTTATTGTCATCTGCGAACAAATCACCGGGAATGCAATCCATCTCACCAGATCTCAGGCGTCCTACTCGTGCTGTAAGTATTTTCTTCCGATTCACATGTACGTACAGCTTTCAGGGTTGTGTGGTGGGCGGCACAGCGAAATCCATTGTTGTACTGCTCTTTCTACGTCCCCGTGTCTACGTTCCCCACTTTCAGCTGCACCGCGCAAGCGTGCGGAGAGTAACTTGAGAATTGATATCGATCAATTAATCAATGCATTTTACACCCCTTCACCCGACCATTTGGTACCATCCCACCACCCCAGAATTAGCACAGACACGATGCTTGCCCATACACGCTACAGCAGTGGTTCTTAACCATCACTGCGGCCTTGCACCCCCCCCCCCCCTTTGGTTCTCAATCGTTAAAAAAAATGATGTTAATAACTAGAAAAGGTTTGATGAAACAAAGCAAGCTGTTGATGATTTATCCTTTTAAAAAAAGCTGGCCGTGTCTCGCACCCCCAGAAAGGGGCCGTCCATAAATGACGTCACGCGATTTTGGACGATTTTTTTACCCCCCCCCCCCCCTTGGTCACACGGCGTCACAAAAAGTCAGACCCCCCCCCCCCCTTAAATATGACGTCACAAAGCTCTGCCCCCCCCCCCCCAAAAAAAAACATGCATCAAATCGCTTTAAACTATTGTCATTGTAGTGCTATTTAATGTGGCGCTGCACTCTGATGTTGTAGGATAAAACTTTTTTTTTAAGTCTACTTAATTAAGTAGAACGTGTTGTCTATATTTATTTAAAGTTGCGCATTTTGATGTGACGTCACATTTCTCAAACCCCCCCCCCCTCGTCACACATCGTCACAAATGTCTGACCCCCCACTAGGTGCGTGACGTCATTTATGGACGGCCCCAAATGGCATCTCGCACCCCCAGGTTGCGAACCGCTGGGCTCGAGTATTGCGGCAGAATGATTAAGCACAATAAGATTGCAGTTTAAAAAAAAAATCAAATACAGTAGCTTTGTGTGTGTGTGTTTTTTTTAATGAAATATTGATGAGGCTCGAGTAAAAGCCGTGCCGGGCAGTCATGCACACGGAGGCCGGCTAGACTCGGCAACGGCATTCTGCACGTTCACTTTCCATCGAGCGGCCATGTGCATTAATTGATTTCCGAGCTGTGCCGAAGTCGTTATTTTGCACCTCAGAGCCCTTTTGGCCAGAAATAGGGCATGACGGAATCATATCCAGCGGTATCCCCCCCACCGGGCACGTCAACGCGCCCGTGAAAACTCATTAAGCCTCATTTTCCGTGGAAACAAAGCTTGCCAATTCTCTTCTATTCCAGACCGGTTAACGATGACTGCGGCAGTTAGTGAGGTGACTGGGAGACTCAGAGGCATGGGGGTGGGGGTTGACAACCCTTGTAGCCACGGTGGCGAGATGTTCACCACCTCGCCTGTTAAATAGGAGGTCGTGGGTTCGGATCCTGACCCTGACGCCTGCTGTATATTTGGAGTTTGCACGTTCTCCCCGTGGTCGCGTGGATTTTTCTCCAGGTCCTCCGTCTTTTCCCCTCCACATTTAGAATCAACCTGCGTTTGGAATATTTGGCTGCTATAAATTTCCACACGGTGATAAGCCACTTCGTTGAGCTATCATTTGTGGCCAGGTCGCTACTGAAAAGGATCTGTATAGCTCAGTGGGCCTTAACCGGTCAAATAAAAAATACAAATATCCAGTGTAGTTTATAGAGCACGCTTTCAGCACCGCCGAGATCACACATTCGAGTCCTGCTCAATCGTTTGACGCTAACCCAGGTTCTCAAATTGCGAAAATGTTTTATGGTCTCAGCCAAGGCCGCAAACAACGGCTGTACCGAACGCGTTCGTCTACACAACCTGTGCACCCGATCTCGTGAGACCTCGGAAGCTAAGCAGGCGTGAGCCTGGCTATTGCTTGGACGGGCGACCACCGTGCATGGCAGGTTGTCAGAGGGCAGCAGCGGAGGGCTTGTGCTACCTTGTCTGCCGCAGACGGCAGCGCAGCAACATCGAGCGCTGTACTTCACTTCTATCCTTCCACGTTTACGAATCCCCCCACCTTCACCAACACACACTGACCAGCGTGGTGAAGTATGGTTAAATAATCCCCGTGACCCTGCAGCAGGTGCGGGGAGGCCCTCGTCCAACGGTAGAGTGACAAAAGGGCCGTCCAGTAACATCGAGTTTTCATCACTCAGTAGCTGACAGTTGCCACATACGCAATGTCTCTTTACACATGGGTAGAATATTCGTGTCATCTATCTGGCCAGGTGGCACCTACGGTTAGAACACTGGACTCGCAGGGAAAAGTTTGCAAGTTCTAGTCTTTGTTGAGGTTGACTCAGCCCATCATCCCTCCAGGTCTATAAATTAAGTAAAGATGAAGAAGGAGGAGATTGCTGAGTTTTTCGAATGCGGCAAATTTGTGAGCATTTTTTTTTTATTTGGACCACGAAGCTTGCTATTCGTTGACGTCACCAGGACCGTTGAGAAACGGCACTCGGCGTTCACCGGGGCATCCTGCCGGATTCGAGCCGCGAACCTCGACAGCGAGCAGCAAATGCGCTCCCGCTGGGCTGCGCCACCACCCGAGTATAACGCCGCGACTCATAATATATCATTATTGATGGACATCGTGCACCGCACGTAAAGAAGCCACGAGAAAGGGGATGCAGCAGGGTCTATATGGGTAAACAAAAAAAACTGCCATGCACTGCACATTAATTATGCAGCATTTATGCGGACCTGTCAAATGCAAAACGGAAACATGCACGCGCACACGCGGAGATGCTCCGAGGCATGCAAATGTATGCGCTCATGAATAGACAAGAAAAACACACACTATAATTTCCCAATTAGCCTAAAAGATTGCTGGATAAAGTGATATTAGAGAGCGCCTATTAATTCCAGCGTAAGACACAAGGGATCAGCGAGGTCAGCTCCATACCCGGCTCTCTTTGACTCCCCCAAGGTTCATCCTGACAAATAGCACCAATTATTAAAATTATACCGAGTTAATCTAGACGAGGTCCAGGCCCCGGTGTTTATATATATACGTGTGTCACATTTCACCAGTGTTGTTCATGGACGGGAATCGAACCTAGGTCGCTGGGATTCTATTGAGGCTTGTTAACTGCGATGGTACCACATCCCACAGTATCACAAACGTACTCAAACATTCAGGGACACATATAGGCATAAAATAATTATTATGGGTACACAGACTCATAAATTACCTTGAAACATCTCTGTACAAACATAACCAGAAATTGTTTACTTTGTGTGTCTTGTCTTACCAATCTTAGAGATGAATAAATTACGATAATTGGGTTATCAACGGCAGGTACTGGTAATGCCATAACGTTAATCCGTTTTCAGCAAGAAATAATATGACCATTAAATAACGTGTGCTGGCAAATGATTCTGTATTACCCTCACTTAGAATCGTATAACTAGGAATCTTGTTAAGATACTAGAATCAAATTACTACGAATCTTAAAACCATTAAAGGAGTTCAAAGATGATCAAGTCAGCAGCTCAAGTGAATGCCAGGGACAGCCACAGCCATCAATAAAGATGGTAGAAGAAAGCCTGCAATCAAAGCAATCACAAGACAATAATAATAATTTCATGTTGGAATGCAAATTCTTTTTTTCTTACTCGTAACACCTCAAGTAATCAAGATATCAGACCGATTGCTCCTCAAACTTTCATTTCCCGGCATCACATATATTTATATTCTTTTTGATGCTATACATTTCCACGTGATAAGCCACTTCGTTAAGCTATCATTTGCGGCCAGGTCTTTTCTGAAAAATAAGCTCATAGTTCAGTTTTATTTGTATATATTTTTTGGGTGATTTGCTTACCTTTCCTATACTTTGCACTCCGATCGTGTTTTTGTATTGTGTTGTTATAACGTTCTGACAACGTGCGCTTACTGGACATCTGTGAAAAAGAGCTTCATAGCTCATCGGATTCCTCCAGGATAAATGTTCTGATTCTGTATTGATGCAACTCCAGTTTTACAAAGGAGACAATATGTCATATCTCATTCGGTGTATTTAATCTCCACATGAATAGATACTGATTAACTAACTGATCCTAAGCTCGTGTTCTCTTCCCAGAGCGACTGGACATCTGTGAAAAAGACCAGTATAGCTCATCGGATTCCTCCAGTATAAAAAATATTCGAATTCTGCATTCAGCACCTCGGCAGGAAATCACAGTTCACGCAGCAGAGACGAGAGGCAAATTCAGCAACAACAAGCAAGGCTCGTCGGCCAATCGACGCGCGACGCACGCTCCGGAAGTTTCTAAAGACGACCGAGTTGATCGGCCTGGGGTAAACGCAGAGCCGGCCCAGCCACTAAGCGACCCTTGCAATTGCAAAGGGCCCCGTGGCCAGCAGAGGGCCCCCTAGAGTCACTGCTAGCGAGTGGGTGAAAAAAATCATACATCAAAGGGGCCTCCAACCAAATTTTGCTTAGGGCCCCCAAAGGTCTAGGGCCGGTTCTGGGTAGACGAGAGAGGGAAGGGAGGCACAGGAGGCAGACACAGGGACCTCCTCCTCCTCCGCTGCCGGGGCACGCCGGTGCAGCGCGGGGCAAATGCAGCGCACGCACCTTTCCATCCGCAAAGTGCTGCCCCGGGCACACGTCCAGCGGGGACAGCAGGTGGCGGCTGCCGGTGCCGGGTGAGCAGGCGATCTCGTTCTGACGGAAGAGGCGGTGGTTCCGCAGCTTGGACACCCACACGTCGAACATCTCCTGGGACTTGATCTGCCGAGAGAGCGGAGCGCGGCCGGAGGTCACGTTTCCGAGCGAGGTGGCCCTCGGACGTTGTACGGCGGCGGTACGGCGCCGGCCCGCTGAGGTTTCGCGATCCGACGGCGCGGAAGCGCGGGGTACGGCGTCTGACTCGAAGTCGTGATTGTTCGACTCGGCCCATCATCATCATCTCTCTCTGGGGAAGACTTTGAGGAAGGTCAGCAGCTGCTGTCAGGGAACATCTTGGAGCACGCAACGATGGGGGTGCTGTGGCCAGGACCACGCATCTCACTGCCTTTGTCTCTTCAGTGCTCAAATTGGCAGACTGCACCAGGTACTGTACTCACTTCTGGTCAAGTCGACCTAGGGGAGGCCCACGATAGATTAAGATACCTCTTGCGATTCATGTTATCCATGGCCACAATTGAAACGTGGTTGCTGAGATCGCAACGCAGTGCGTGACCCATGATATCACCCCCCCTTCCTCCACCCAAAGATAAAGATCCCCCGTATAGCCTTAACCGACTGTTGGGGCAAGTGCTGTTAGCGAACACCTATTAAGGATGGCAAGACAGACGAGGGGGTGGGTGACCGTCACCACGCCTGGCCGCCTTTGTCTCCCCCATGCACACACACACACATTCCAGTGACCAAGCATGGAAATACACACTGGCATATTTTGCACACATTCGCATATGTGGTACACCAACAAAAACCACTGCACACAAAAGTACATACATCAGCACTGGCATTTCCAATGGGACAGTGGCATAGCGGGAGCGCGTTCGCAGCTTGCTGCGGAGGTTCACAGTTAAAATTAAGAGGCGACCCTGATTATATGTATTACTGCGGGGTGTGTTAATCCTGAATATGCGTGCTGCCTGTTGCAGTGGCCATCGCAGAGTCGGCTAGCGTGTGGCGGAGTCGTGGTCCAAATGTTTTTCTAATTCGAAAAATTACCTTCAAAACTGTTCCATCGAGATAAAATATGGCAATCCTTACCCATCCGCCCCCCCCCCCTACGAGCTAAGACTGATGCCTGTTTACAGGCCAGGGGCTGTATCACCACGTGGCCCACAGGGCCTACTGCCCCTGGAGATTCCACCCTGCCACCTTTCATGTGTTTGAGACGAGGTGTGGCGGAAACACCTCGTCGCATTAGGCACTATATCAAAAAACAAATCATTCCCAATCGTTTTCGCACGTGAGCAATCTTACAACACTGTTATTTCATGCAGCGTGCTTCCCCAGCGGGCTAATTAGCCCGGAGAATATATGCGGGACCAATTAAAATGCAACAAACCTAATACGCAGTGAAACACAGCATAAGCAAGCCAGCACATGCACAACGTGGGTATTTGAATTCGTTCACAGGGCATTTGACATACATGCACCGGAGGATATATTAGGGCCTGTCAAACCTGTTTTAAAGAGTTACTGCTTTGCCATATATCTTTTTTTACAAATCAGAAACACAATGCGGGGCACAGAGAGGGCGATCAGAGTCAATACTTCAACTTGACGCGTTTGCTGTTAAGCTGACCACGTGGCAATGTGGCAGGAGCACTCAGCTCGCTGGAGAAATCCGGACGAGTTAAAATCCCAGAGGGAGGCCGACTTAGGCCATCAACCATTCGGGTTCAAAAAATGAGCTCAGTTTTACAAGAATACAACAGTGGTTGCCTTACGGACAGACTGGTCCCCATCACAGGAATGTGGAAATTCCATCACTGTTTTAGAGATGGCAACAGAAATTGGTATTGCCCCATGCTTGTTTGAACAGGGAGAGCCACCTTCCTTATTCAAATGTCACTATCATGGCACAGAGGGAAAAGCTCCTCCATTATATAACTTTCTATAGTCAATCTTGATATGAAGCTTTCGTGACTGCAGGAATCCATACTCTTTGATTCTTTCGGGTAAAGTCACGTAGGTATAAAATAAATTAGAATATCACATTATGTGATACTCTGTAAGAGGATACCATAGAACTACTTATCACAATCATAGGGCCTCCCCCTGCTCAAACAAACAGAAGCGGTGCTCATCTCTCCGTTCATTGCTGACATCGTGGTGGAAATTCCACGTTCCTATGGTGAGAGGCAATCTTCCCGCAACTCAACCAACGGTTGTCTTGGAAAAAAGTGGTACTCAATTTGCATGACCCTAGAACGGGAGAAATACCGCGTCAATTCACCTGTCGAGATTTGAACCTGGAACTTTTCAGTTTGAAGAGCAAAACGGGCATTAAATATAGCATCAAACAACCACTGGATGTGGTTATTTAACTATGCATGCGATTTACGAAATCACCTAACCAGACAAACCACTCGTAGTGTCAATTATTAATTCGTGTGTCGACTTCCCCCAACGTTATTCCAAATTGCGCATTTGCATCAAGTTATCAGATGATGACTCTACGTGGCAAGCAAGGGCAGTGCGTCACCCCGCGCTAGGGAATTGGCCTGCCAAAGGTGATGCCACAGAACTGCTTATGAGAAGTGACCTCTGACCTTGGGAACAAACAAACAAAAACCTCACGAGATTCGTAATTAACACAGTGCCACCTTTTAAAAAGAACGTCTCTTCAAGTGCCCTCTTATCTACTAACGGCAATGCCCATCTAATGACAGTTCAACCCGATAATGTTATTTTCTCAGAGCTATAATTTTAATACCGTGGTCTTTTTGCGCTCGTGACGAGGCTGAGACCATCACATTTTTGACGCTCAAGAAGCTGGTTTCATCATGGGCAGCTGGCCAGAGTGAAACTCGTCTTCTCAGTGGTACTCCCTCAGTGCTCTGACCTCTGATCCACTGGACCACCTTGCTTGCAGTGCCACATTAACAGGTCCTGACCATCTAACACGAGATAGTTGTCTGTCTTCCTGAGTAGTTTTCTGCAGGTATCATTTTTTATATATAAATAAATAAACAATACAGCTTGGTTTAATTACAAAAAAATTAACCCGTAAAAACAAAGTTTTTCACTATAAATCCTTTATATGCGTGTTCAATGGGCCACAACCCAGCCCACATTGGTCTTTGAAATGGGCGGCGAGAGTCCTCTCGTCCTTTGGCTTGAGATGGCTGCCACCTATGGGTCAGATGATTGCCTGCCACCATTAAGCAATTGGTAATTAAATATAAACATTTTTCCTAAAAAGGGTAAAATTTTGGGAAAAATTTTTCACGGAAATAAATTGTCACGCACAACGAGTCTGTGTGCAAAATGTCAGCTCGATTGGATCACGGGAAGTGGGTTAAAAAACGACCGAAAGATTTGCACGGTCGTAAGCATGCAAGCAAGCAAGCAAGCGAACTTAATATAAAGGATTTAAAAATACATACCCCCAAAATACATGTATTGGTGACCAAATGAAGAAAATGTACATCTGTTGACTTGATATTAGATGGTTTAACACCTAGCAGGCTTTCGCGATCAATATCATCCATGATACAGGTTTTGCGGGTTAGATCGCGTAAATATAAATGTGTCGTTAAACCCGCCACCACCTGACACAGCCGATTAGTAAGGTTTGTAACGTAAACGAAACGTGCCAATTCGTTACTGGTACAGCACACCGGTGTGTTGGAGAGCAATTCCACAACATTTACAATCCAAGGTGAGAATGACGGAGGATTCGAAGCCTAGGAGCTCAGAGCAGCGGGGCGGTGGCGACTCCCTCGCTCCGATAGGGCCCATCGTCCATCGCACAACGCTGCCGCTTAAACAAAAAAAAAAACTCCCGGTCCTGGATCGCGTAAGGCTCTGCACGAACACATTTGTCACACGGGAACGAATAACGAACGCAAGCGAATATTACTCTCGGGAGAGGCCGTTCGCTGTGCCATTATTCATCTCGAGGGATAGTGTGGGGGGCAGAGGCCACGCCGCGACAGGGCTGCTGGGACACTCCGGTAGGGGCGGGCGGGGGGGGTTAATGTCTCGCCCGTGCGAGAGACCGTCGCCAACCTTGAGGTGGTAGATGTACTCCTCCGTGTCCAGGTCGATGCGCCTCGACTTCTTTTTGATGGACATCACGGACAGGCCAATGTCTATGCTCCCGTGCAGCTTTCCACGCTGCACCTGAATGCGCAGACACAGCAGGATTACAGTTGCACTGCTCGGTGCGCAAGCAGTCGGGCGTGAGCTTTTGGTTCTTCAATTCTTGCCTGCATGAAAATCGCTCCCCTGCGACTTTGCTCAAATGTTTTTTTTTATATCCCACAGCTGTCTCCGCGAATTAAATAAGCGTAATGTAAATGTTATCTGTGCGAATATATGTGTGCGTGTGTGTCCAGCATGATGGCAAACCGGGTAAGAGTGCTCGACTCACAATCAGACAGTTTTCAGGTCAAATTATGCCTGGAGTGAATTCGGCCCATCATCCTTGTGAGGGTCAGTAAAATAGATACCACTTTGTGGAAACTCAACAGTGATTTGTGGGTTTTTTTGTTTGTTCTTCCTCTAGAGAAACTGGTGCCTGGAATTGAAACGTGGAATTTCCACCACCATGCCAGGGCCACCAACGCAGATGAACACCACAACACACGCACGTTTGGGCAGATAAATATTATGGAACAGACCTTGCAGCCTGACTATCAATTACCTAAACACATTTGTCTTGTTGCTTTGCTCCCTGAACGTTGGTAACGGACACCGCCATTAACTTTCTCCCAGAATCTTAAATCTAAAATCCTCAATTCGCATTCCAGCACGTGGCCTGAAGCCTCGGTATCCCTTTTGACCACGATGTTCACTACAAATGCAGTGCAGGAATCCATTTCTCGCGATGTGGTGCAATCGACTGAAAGGCGTGCGGTGGCTGCAGAAGTCAAATTGCGAAACGCTGCTGCGAGCCGGGAAAAATGCCCCCCCCACCCCCACCCCCGGTGCATCTGGCGCTCAGGCAGCGCACGCGCCCTCAATCAGACGTCAACCGCCACGGCATTGCTCGCAGTTCTATGAGCGAGGTTAAAATATCCGGGGAGGTTGCTGGTGGAACTGCGTCCGTGACAAATCGCCGCCTTAGCGCAGTGCATTTCATTCGTCGTTATCAATTGTCGTGTGTGCCGGACGCCGAGTGTACTGCACGCTATACCACGGGACCTTTTTGCCAGTATCAAAGGATGAAAAATAAGATTAGATTTTACCCTTTCTGGCAATAAAACAGGAGGTGATAAGATGTTCAAACACCAAATAGAAACCTCTTGCAAGGAATCAAGTCTGTATTAACTGCACCCAGTGCTTGTGGTGAGCATGCAAGTCAAATGCTCTGATACTGGTAGGAACCACCTGGTTCCACCAGCCCACAGGGGATTATTGTGCCCGTCCGTCCGTCGTGCATCCAAAAATGGGAGAGGTCGAGCTGGGTGGGGAGGGGCTGGTCACCCCGTGGTGCCCTTATAAAACTCAACGTTTAACCTACTCACGCCGGCTTGTGCCCGCCCTCAGTCGGCCATATGTGGCCTAGTCTCACCAGTATCAGACCAGAGAACACCACAAGGCGAACAGCACAAGAACAATGCAACTATCAGAGCATTTATAGATAGCTCGGGGTGAGCAGCTATATCATAGGACCTTTTTGCAGACTGGATTCCTTGCAAAAGGTATATATTTGGTGTTTGAACATCTTAACACCTTGATTTGAAGCTTTCGTGACTGCAGGAATCCATACTCTTTGGTTCTTTCGGTAAAGTCACGTAGGTAGAAAAAATATTGATAGATCACGACATTCAGTTGTTTCTTGCTGTGGTTGTTCCACCTGATGACGATCGCTTGTGTTGCGATTGAAACGTCGTGATCTATTCTTTTTCTACCTACGTGACTTTACCGAAAGAACCAGAGAAAGGGTAAAACATATTCTTATTTTTTGTACTGTCCGCTGAATCGTACACGTGTATGACAATTCATCACCCACCCCCCTCCCCTCCACCGCCTCTTGCAATTTGACGAATCGTCACGTGTGTACGTACATGCATTTACGCTGAACTTCTTTCGCAACCGTGCGTAGCCAACCGTGCCAATCGGAGGTGCGGGGGATTCAATTATCGAATTCTCTTGCGAACGTCGATGTGAGCTTGAGAACCAATGCTAATCAATTCATCCACCTTGCTAAAAGCAAGAATTGTCTATTTGGCTTCACAAAAACACACACATATGTAACATTGCTGAGCAAAGATGAGTCTGTTTGAGTGAATAGTCACGCCACGACAACGGAAATTTCTCGTTTTTATCATCGCACTAGAGTCTATCGGGGAAAACACGTTTGGAGCATTCGCATACAATGCACATTTTGCCATACCTGTCAACCCATACGGTTTACTACTTATTCTTGAAAAGGGAAATTGAGGTTTCAGGAACATACGGCGTTCAGCCGTTTCAATACGAGCAAAAAACTTATTTTTTGTTTAATTGTTGGTGTTTCTCCCTTGTGATGGGACTTTGTAGGATGAACGTTGAGATTTATAAAGGGCACGGGGTGACCAGTAAGTTCTGAATTGGTCTGTAATAAGGTAGGGCACTGATAAGGGGTTGACAGGCATGTTTCGCATACGTTCTCGAATCCACGTCCTCCTCTTTCAAGGCTCTGAACGTAATTCCAAGCGCGACGCATGGAGAGATGCATGCTTTTGAATTATCGTGAGAGGCAGAAGATACAGAAAGAGAAACACATGTATAATTGGCGTGGTTCGCTACGTGCAGTGCGAAAGAAGTTCAACATATATACATAGGAGAATATATATATACGGAAGTTAATGGCATCATTATCTTAAGGAAAGTGATTGAAATTAAATGGGCTTACACCACTGGAACCTCCTTTGCCAGTAGCAAAATATGATAATTGTTTTTTTTACCCTTTATTCTGGCAACAAAATTGACACCTTTTTTTACAAGGAGTTATGTTTGCATTGACCACAATACCTGCGGTCGGAATGCAAACAAAAAACACAACTCTGATAATGTATGCACTGTCCTTGAAATTCATTGGACCACACCCGAGACAGCTTTTCTTAGAGCCCAGTCTCACATGGTGTTGGACCAGATGACGCCAAAAGGCTTAGTCAGTCCACGTAAACAGGGATGATGGACAATTGTGAAGAGCGGTAATGGAGTAGAAGCCAAGGAATGGAACTTGTCCAAGATGATGTCGCAGGATTGTGGCAGAAGGCAGTGGCTTGGGGAGGCTCTCATCCAGCAGTGGATTACTGTATCGCATCATTGGGAGCATGTCCGCCTGTACGTGCTGGATCTATCACGTTTAAAATATGCTCTAGGCACACTTGACGACTGAGAATAATTATGCACGTGAGGATCAAATGTTCGTGAGTTAAATCAATAAAAAACATGCTCGTGTTACAATTAAGCAAATGGGAGTGAATGGGACTTACAAAAGAGGACAAACAAGAAACACGTGATTTTGGAACAGGAATACGATCGCGAGTTGCGATCATTCGTATTCTGCATTCTTATATGTTGTCCAATATGGATGCGTGTCACGTGACCACCACACTGCATGCGCAGTGCTCTCAGCCTTGTCCAAGCCACCGGCTCCACAGAGCTGAACGTGCGGCCGTCTCATTGTTTATAGTTCCATCAACTGAAAGGAAGAGTTGAAAATGAGACCGTTCCCTGCACGTTGCTCAACCGATCTTTGCATCGAGCTTGCGCGCACATTCCTGTTGTGATGGCTTTGCTCATGGTTGACAAAAAGCATTGGATTTCGACGATGACAGGCACAACGATGCAGGGCAGGATCACCTCCGCTGGAGACTTGGCGTATTTCACGATCCCATTCTCCAGCACAAAAAACCGCTGCAACACAGAAGAGACGCAGATCAACAACACGGCTTCTTTTTCTTCGCACTGCTCCTCAACGTGGCTATTTTGTTGTTGTTGTTGTGGTAGTAGTTGGAATTTTATTCCCAACTCTTTCAAGACGCAGGGTGTGGTCGTTCACAAGAATTTCCCCCGGGGGAGAATTACGGTAGATTGTTGTGACATGCCAAGCTTGATAGGCAAAATGATGATAATTTTTATTCCCGGGGCTGCGGTGATTTCCAAAACGTTCAGCCGGCACCGACCCGGAAAAGGCCTCATGCAATCAGGGACGCAAAATGAACCGCGCTGACGCATCATTACCCAGCACGAACAATCAGAGGAGCGAGTCCTACGATTATAATAACGGGCCCACTTTAAATTTCAATCGCGGACAGCGCCCCACCAGCGCACACACATGCACGTTTTTTCGGATGATTGCATTCGTTACAGACTGGGGGAAAGACGGCACGTAAAGTGTCAGAAAGATAATAATAGGCGAGTTAAAAAGAAAAAGTTAAGATGGTATTTGTAGATGTCGCGCAATTAAACCGTGGTGGCAACAACAAACATCCCAAGAATATGTTTCAGGAGGGCCCCGTCTCAGACGGTTGGCTAATTCCTGTTTGCATCGCGACAATATATGGCAGCTTAACTGGAGTGCTCAAAGAGAGTCGGCGTCTACAAGAGGGTTCACGCGAACTCTACACGGTGAGGTCAAAAACCTTCTTGCTCTATTGGTTCATATAGGCGCCGCACTTGCTTCCGATGTGCGTGCAGAATTTCATCTTTGCCAAAATTCGCCATGGAGTAAACGTGGCGGAGCGGAACTGTGGCACAGTGGTTTCGCACTCCGCGCTGTGAACCGGCAAGCCTGAGTTATCGTCACGGCTCGTGTATTCACACTTATTAACTGTCTGCAAACATCTTTATATATAGAGTACCACGGAGCTTGGGCAATTGTTTGTGCCAGCTCAACGCTTGGCCACCTTCTCAGTTGTCTGCGGTTCCTCAATGACTGAGAGATGCAATTTGCAAAATAAAACTACATTTTATTATTGTTATCCTTTTCGCAGACATAATCAGCAAGTGATATATAAACAAAAAAACGAAACTGAGCTATAATAGCTCTTTTTCAGAAGTGACCTGGACACAAATGATAGCTCAACGAAGTGGCTCGTCATGTCGAAATTTATAGCAGCCACATACTCTAAACGTATGTCGATTCTAAATCTGGAGGGGAAAATTGGAGGACCCGGAGAAAAATCCACGCGACCATGGGGAGTGCACGCAAACGCCATATATACAGCAGGCGTCAGGGTCGACCTCCTCCACACCTGGGGAGGTAGTTAATCAGACCCGTGCATATCACCTTCACCAACCAACACTGACCAGAGTGGTGAAGTATGGTCAGATAATCTTCATGACTGACACAGCACAGGGAGTCCTTCATCCAGCAGTGGATTGACAAAGGGCTATACATAAATATTATTATCTTAGCATGCGTGTATGTTGAACTTCTTTTGCACCGTACATAGCCAACCGTGCTAATCAGAGGTGCGGGGATAATCTATCAACCCCTCCTTCAAAAGATGATGGATGGGGCCCCCCCTGTAAAAACACACACACCCCGCTCGTGGTCCCCCCCATTCTCTAAACTCGCCGCAGTGTTCGGATCTGCACCCCGCGGAGTTTCCGTACCCCCTCCCTGCATGGCAGTTTGTGCTCTGCACCGGGCTCCTATTAAATTGAAATAAAAAATATATGTATAAAAAATAGTTTTAAAAGTTGACGGTCGTATGCGAGCAGTCCCTTCCCTCCATTGAAACGCAAACACAGCGTGAGAAAAGCGTGGCCCACCTTGTGCCAGCCCTTAAGAGGCCACTTGCGTTTCTTGAGCAGGAAGCCCTCGTGTCTCTCGGGTTTGTGAACGTCCGGCTGCCCTGACCGGAGGCCCTCGATGATCTCCCACCCCTGGGCATCCTGGGAAGAGCAAAATGAGAGGACAGAACAGAGCGGCAGTTTAAACCGAGGCTCAAAACAATACCGGATACACTAAAACTAAACTAAATTTGTATTTTACCAGGTAAGGCTCACTGAGATTTATAGCTCTGTTGCAGAAGTGACCCGGCTACAAACGATAGTGCAAAGAAGTGGCTTATCATGTGGAAATCTATAGCAGCCAAATACTTGCAACGCATGTTGATTGTAAATGTGGAGGGGAAAACCGGAGGACCCGGAGAAAAAATCACGCAACCACAGAGAAAACATGCAAATTCCAAATATACAGGTGTCAGGGTAGGGATCAAACCCATGACCTCCTATATACCAGGCGAGATATTTAACATATTGCCACTTTGGTGAAAGTGTTTTTTTATCATCCAATTATCTATTTTTCCAAAATTATATTCTATTCGTGCTCAGGATGTCATGTCACGAGATGAAGGGATTTCGATTTGGAGCCCTCATAAAAAAGAAAATGGCATCAAGGGAATTACATCAGCAATGTCCCGTTAACCGCCTCTCATCCGCACGAGGCGCTTGGGTTCCACACCCTCTTGTGCACCCTGCCAAACGTGTTCGCCCCGAGGCAAATCGACCCGAAATCAAAGCCGGACCACGCCGACCGTTTCCGTCGTCAGACCTGGACCACACCGAATTTAAGCAATGAACCTCGTTTAACGAGACAGGCCATTTTGCGAAGTCATTCGTGTTTCTTATAAATGGAATCAATTAAACTTCGTTTTTTACAAATTTAAGTTGCTGGCAGCCAATGTTGCGCAGTCTGCGTTACAAAATGTTCCGAGGTCAATGTACTATTTCTTTTTCTTATGTAACTTCCGTGAAAACTTTTGGACAGTTTGTGAATATTAAAAGACCTGAATGTTATTCTAAAGACAGCGAAATAACGACTGCATCCCCGTACACGCTTACTTAATATAACGAACCAAAAAAAGAACCTCGCTGCAAATTGTATTTTAAACGAGGCTGTTCTTAGATGTTTGGTTGAACTGCTTAAAGCTGAAGCTTTGTTTTTGCACGAAGGGTGCAGCAACTGGTTACATTGTGGGCATATTACATGTGTGCTATTGCATTCGAACGTGTAACCTATGCACGTGTAACGTTGGAAGTGTAATATTGCACGTGTAACTTTGAACGTGTAATTTTACAAATGTAACTTTGCACGTGTAACATTGGAAGTGTAAAATTGCACTTGAAAAGATTTCACGATTGCGTATGTAATATTTCATGTAGAATTTACACCGACCGCATTCTCAGTGCCATTGCTCAGGTGATTCTTGGAATGTCAAGGCGAGATAGGGTAAGCAACTTGGAAGTTCAGCATAGAAGACGACAACAAAATTGTTGTAGATGTGATCCGAAAGAGGATGCTGTGATGGGTGGGACATGTGAGGAGGGCAGGTGGCCGAGGCACGCATTGGAGTGGAACCCAGAGGTCAGCGACAAAGGGAGAGTTCGATCGCCCCCGATGGTGGGTCAATGTGAGAGGAGTCCTAGGCGGCGAGGACTCACTTGTGCAGCTGTAGAGGATTCAGGCTGAGGGTTGGAAGCCGTGAAAGTGATGCAACAAAATCAATGACAACTTCTGCAGCTGTATTGTAAGCAGTTTGATGCATCAATTCGTGAAATAGAATAAGTTCACATTCTCACGAGACCTGTATTGAAACGCGCGTGAACTTTGATTCCTTTTCATTTTATCAGAGGCTACAATTCACTTTAACCTGAGAACAAAAATCAATTACGGAATCAAATTGTGACACTCAATTGCAACAATTCATCGAATAGCAAAGGGATGGGCTCACATCTCCAAAAATATCCTCACTACGTGTTTAAGAAGTCAGGGCAAAACAATTCCACTTCAAGCGTGGTCTCAGCTCACACCTGGGAGTTTGAAGATGAGACGACACACAGAACAATTCCCAAGTCGCTCACAGGAGCTTACCTTAACCAAGAACCATACGACACCCAGCATGTCAATCGTTTGATGATAAATTACAAGTTTTCAGCAACGAGAGCTGGTGGATACCGTACGCAGAATGTCATTTGGCATTTTCGCAACTGGTTTGAGGGCTGCAAATGACGAGGACCGTTATTCCAGTTCCGTATCGGCATCTAAGTGGAACGGACCACGTGATGAATAAAACATTAGGGTTTGCAGACCTATGTGCAAAACCTTTAACGGGGTTTAATAATTTTCCAGGTACACCAGATGCAATATCTCTGAGTGCTAAAGGCAGGCAACAATCTTTGGCTTCTGAGCTATCTCGTAGGCACCAGAGCATCTGCATGGAAATCTGAAGTGGCATGGTTCAAGGAAATACAGATTTGTATCAAACAGATATTGCACCAGGGACCGAGGCTGCTTTATCTCAACGAGGTTGTTCAAGCAAATAAGTGAATAATTAAATATCGCCCGCGCTTAGGAAGTCTCTTTAAAGTTGCCCTTTGAAGCGTGGAATGCCATGTTAACAGTTCCCGGTCGACGGGCTCCATTTATCCACGGCAATCCAACTGTTGCCATGGGAGATTTCTAAAGCAGTCGGTAGTCTGCCAGCAAAGAGGGCGATAAACTAACAATTTGTTTTTTTTTATTTTACCAGGTAAGACCCCACTTAGCTATGCAGTTCTTTTTGTTCAGAAGCGCCCTGGCCATCACAAATGGTGGCTCAACGAACGTGGCACCTTAACAACTCTTGGAACCTCTCATTTCAACCAGTCTACACAACAAAAGGTTCATTCCTAGCAGCGGTTTCAGCCGCACCACCTCTACATAACAAAGGCTCAGTGCCATTTACAGCAACCGCATCTTTAAATCAGCCGCACCTTTATAACTATTGGAACCTCCCATTTCAACCAGTCTACATAACAAAGACTCATTCCTAACAGCGTGCTTCAGCCGCACCGAACCTCACAATAATAATAATATCCAGGTGCCTGCCTTGGCTCCTCCCACCCTCAACCAGTATATATACAAGGACTGTTTTCTTGGAATTTCTCTTACCTGATGCAGCAATCGTGCTGTGACGGTTCCACCTGAAGACGGAAGCTTGTGTTGCCTCACAACAAGCGGTCGTCTTCCGGCGGAAAAAATAATCCAGCAGTGGAACTGCTGAACTGCCTGAGGGACGACCGCTTGTGTTGCGATCGAAACGTCGCGATAGATTATTTTTATTTTGTTTTATTTTTCTACCTACGTGACTTTACCGAAAAAACCAAAGAGTTTGGCTTTCGCTTCTCGATGGTTTATGTCTTACGAACAAAGCATTGTGCTGCCCTCCAGTACAGCCCACGACGACACGCAACCCAGGTTTGTTAATAGCTGTGAACGCCGATATTTGTTTTTGTCTCCGAGGCTGCTTCTTCCGTTACAGGGAGGTTCGCCGATGTGGGCCGTTACATCTCGAGTCGGTCGTCACGCACTAGGCTCGTCGATGTCCAGCGACACTTGCTGTTGATGCTCATCATCATCTCGGGGCCTCTCGACCGACCCCCTCTATCCAACCCTGAGCGACATTGTCCCCCCTCACGTACAACGGGGAGTTGCAACAACCGGCGAGCTCCCGGAGAAGATGAAGGGCAAACACAAGCCTGCCACCACGTCTCCCATCACGTCCACCAGCCGCGGCTAGAACAGCCACACCAGGACTGCTTGCTTAGATGAGCCGCAGTTGGCTACGTACGGTGCAAAAGAAGTTCAGCGAACGTTAAGAGACCGGCTGGCGGGAGGAATGGTGGGAAAACTCGGCACCAGAATCTACAAGTCCGCCCGATGATGCTGGATGTAATTACCAGCGAAACGTCGTACTCGAATACTGTAAATGTTGTGGATTCACACTTCAACACACCGGTGGGCTAAAGTAGTGAACTGTTTGTCTTTTGTCAACGTGACACTTTTTTGCTGATTGGCCGTGTCGGGTGGTGGAGGGTTATGACACATTTATAAATAACGCGATCTAACGCAAAAAAACGTTTATTATGAATAATATTGGTCGCAAAAGCCTACGTGTTAAACTGAAGTCCGTCTTGTCTGTCCGCCTGGCTTCTTCAACCTGGCATTCCGTGCCAGTGGTCCTTGCTGAGCAGGTTCCGGACAGGGCAAGGGTCTCTGTGTGACCAACCTCCACTGTCGGGGAGGGGGGTCTTCGTATGCACCGTACGTGGAATACCGTACGTTGGACTTCTTTCGCACCGTACATGGCCAAACGTGCCAATCGGAGGTGCGGCAATCGCGACGACCGACACTGGGCGGCTGCGGCATCGTGCAAAAAAAATGTCGCACCCATTGTTCATGACCATCCACTGACTTACGTTCAGCGGAGCTCTGCGGATAATTATAAACATGATACAGTATCGCCACCAAAGGATGCTGTCGCACGGCTGGGCGATTACCCACTCGCTGAATTCATTAATCAATCGGCTCTGGAGCAACAACCCATGCCGTGATTGCATTGCGAGCTGGTGGTGGGAGACGTGGTTGGTGGGTGATTGTGTTCGGCAGAACGTTTTTCTCCAAACGCTCGCCCACTCCCCGAGCAACATTACAACTTTTTCCAGCAAATTCCACCGATATTGTCCATATATGAACCCTCTTACAGGGCCCATATTATAAACAGTTGACTCTCGCTGTTGGGGTAACTGAGGCCGAACTAGCAGGGTTCATGTGAGGACTTGGTGTGGCCCTGAGGTCATCATCATCATCGTGGCAAAGCTATGTTGTTGTGGAAACCCCTGCGGAGCAGTGGGTCTGAGATTATAGTGCTAATGTGCAATCAGGGTCTGCCCACTCACTCGGGATGGAAGGATTCATCCACTGTGACAATTCTATGAAGCGTCACGATTCGTAAATGATGGACGAACTTGTATTGCGCGCTCTCTCTACAGCGTGTAACGAAATGTCTCGGAGCGTGTATCCCCCTATCGGCAGCTGTCCCTGTGCAGCACGAAGTAACTCAATGCCTGGCTCGGCGATGTGCATTCGTCTGCCGGCAGGAGGTGATGATTGGTCGTAGACTATTTATATGGTACATAAAAAATAGCTAATTTTGTTATGGTAGGAAACTGGGAGAACGTGGATTGAAACTGAAGTGGAACAAGGGGGAGGAAGGGTACAAAGTCAACAAAGAAAGGTGCCCCGGTTGGGAATCGAACCCAGGTTCTTCAGGCCGTGAGGCGCCTGTGTCAACGCACCACCATCGTGACGCCCTCACGGTTCTGATTTGAATCACAATTTGTATTCTTTTAATTCTGTGTTGTAGGGAGATGATATAGTTGTATGAAGCAATAGATTTGTATAAATGTGAAGGAATCAGAGGAACATTTAATGATTCTTACACTTATATTTTTTCATGTTGTGTGATTGCAATAATTAATTTTTAATTTTACGAATTAACGAACCAATCAATCATTGCACACATACCACTTATCCAAACGCTTTTGACCGAGACACAAGACGTATGTGAACATAAGGGCAGGCTCGAGTTATGTGCGAAGATAAGATACAAATAGCCACAGGCACAAGGCAAGATGGACACCGCACACTTAGTAGTGCCTGTATATTTAGCCAAGCACGTAATATGCCATAATGATTTTTTTTTCCAGCAAGCCATTAACAAAATGGCTATCCTTGATGTTTAATTTGCATTCCATTTGATTTACTCCATCGTTTGCCAATGGATAGATTAGACCCTTGGGATAAACAAAAAGCATTTGCCTGAACACAGGTCTGTTAAATTGATGTTGTTTAAAATTATTATTCCTATTTGTGGACTGTCTCCTCTTTTAATAGAGAGACGTGGTTGTTTGTCAATACACCCTGAAATGGAACCTTCTCAAAGCAATTCCTTTTGTTTGCAGTGTCGCGATTTTCCAAGAACACTCAATTTGTGACAAAAGAGATTTAATAAACTCAATATCTGGACACATTTGCTGGCTTGAGTTTTGTAATAACGGTAACATTTTCTAGTATGGCCATGGATTTATTTTCTTTTTTACCTATGAGGGACACTAGAAAGCCTGCAAACATCTGTAAGACCCAGAGACAGAAATTATCGTGGCACATTAAAATGAATTACCTCGAAGATGCTGTACTCTAACATTTTCAATTAATGTACCTGTAAACGTGACGGCAAATGAATCCCTGGTGACCTGTTTATGCAATGTCAATTATACTGTCATATGATTTGTTACGCTTGGGTCATGAGTGTAAAATATCTTATAGTGTTTGTGCGTACGTGTGGTTCAGCGGTTCATACATTGCGCTCTCAAATCCCAGCGACGTGGATTCGATTCCCGGCCACAGATAACATCAGTCCAGTGATGCCTGAATCTGTGCTGGCAATTGCCTGATTTGACTCAGGCTTAAACGAATAGCTGGTGTGGCACGAAAACATTCGCACTGGGGACCCAAAGGTGGTCACACCACACACTTGTGCACTGTTCCGGCATTAAAAGGTTCCCAATAAATTACTTTGCTCCCAAGGCCTCAACGGTACCACGGGGGATCTTTAACCTCTTTGACACGGCACTCGGCAAAAATCACGGCATTGGTGGTTCACCACTGGGCGAGTTGCGGAGTAGAGGCCAAAACCAAACGGTGAAATTCCTGAATCTGGCTCAGAGCCAAGCAGGACCAGGGGGGGGGCAAGGCGTGCCGCATCAAGTCTGGACAACTCAAACGTGGCATCACCCACCGTGCTATCTACCCACAACAAAAGATCCCCCGTGTAGCCTGAACAGACTGTAGGGGCAAGTGCTGTTAGCGAGCACCTATGAAGGCCGGCACAGCACACGAGGGGGTGGGTGGCCAACACCACGCCCGGCTGCCTTTGTCTCCCTAGTGGCGATGTTTACACGTCGCACCAGGTACTAATTTGAGGCTGAGTCGACCTAGGGGAAGCCCAGGACCGGTTCAGATCATCGTCACTGGTGTTGGCCGTGAGCGGGAATCGAACCCGGGTGGCCAGGTTTGTAGCGCAGCGCGCGAACCGCTACACTACTGCTCCCCACTCTACCCACACACGCACACACCCACACACGTCTCAACTCGTTCATCACGTGCGACGTTATCGGCACGGCCCGGGTTCTGCAGTGGAAAAAAACAACAACCTGGCACCCCCTGAGCCGTGCTGGGCTGCCTCGGCACAACCACTGCAGAGCAATGCGCTTCTCCAGGCGGAGAAGGGGCCTTTGTCTTGTGTGTGCGTGTGTGAGTGCATGTGTGGGGTGCTGTAGCGCAGCGGTGGTGCAGCGATTAGCACGCTGTGCTATAAAACTCAGCGACCCGGGTTCGATTCTCGCTCACGCCCAATACCAGTGGCGATGATCTGAAACTGGTCATGGGCCTCCCCTAGGTCGGCTCAGCCTCAAATGAGTACCCGGTGCGGTGTGTAAACATCGCCACCGGGGAGACATAGGAGGTCGGGCGTGGTGCTGGCCACCCACTCCCTGGTGTGCCGTGCCAGCCTTCATTGGTGCTACTCGCTAACAGCACTTTCCCCAACAGTCTGTTGAGCGCTACACGGGGGATCTTTGTCTTTATGAATGCACGCGTGAACCCACTTTCTTGGGGGAGGGCTGTGCAGACGTGAGACGGGAGGCCAGGATAGAGTCGTGGCCTGCAGACACGGGACTCTCGTCTGCGCTTGTCATCGACTGGAGGGCACACAGTCAAACAGACACACACAGGCCGTCAGACGTTGTATTATAGTTGCATTTTTTGTATCATTCAAAAATATCACCTAGAATTTTTTATAAAAGTTTTTTTAAAATATATATAACAAACTGCTTTAAATAACGTAAGCGTATTAGTAAATAAAAATAGAACGGCTGATAAAATAGATAACAGGTGACGTATTGGTAAACGGCTCTTCTTGAAAGCACATTAATCACGTGATGAAGAACGGCAATAGTTTCCCAAAAAGTCGCCTATTATATATTACTACTTTTACAGCATTATTATAAAATTTCGATTTAAAGCTTTCGTGACTGCGGGGATTCATATTCTTGGTTCTTTCGGTAAAGTCACGTAGAAGGGAAATAATAAAATAATACAAATTAAACATTAACATTCTCAAGACGTTTCGATTGCAACACAAGCAATCATCATCAGGTGTGAAACCCACAGCAAGAAAATTTGAAAAAAGTGGCGGTTTATTTTATTTATTATTCCCCTTCTATGTGACTTTACCGAAGGCATTATTATTGTCGAATGTATTGATGCTTTTTTGTTAATATATAAAGAGGTGTCCTTAAACCGAGTAAAGTCTCATCGAGCCTCAACATATTTCACTGGGGTCCGACGTTGGTAAGTTTGGCACAATTACCGGATGAGTGGCGAGTAAGAGAAAACTGCAATAGCAAGAAACACCCCAAATTACAATCGCATAACCCTCACGTGACCCAACAGGTGTAGAGGTGTTACGGGAGGGCGAACAAACACACCAGGGGAGGCTATGCCCGCACGCGGAAGGATGCTTACATCCACGTCCGCATCGTTTAGCCTGGGGGGCTGAAACGGCGCTGTGATCCCCCACGGCCCCACCCCTCGGGGGGGGGGGGGGGAGTTGCTATATAAGCTGGTGAGCCGGTGGGCTCGGGGTTCAGTGTTTAGCTTAAGCCAGTAAAGAGTGAAGACCGGCTAGATAGGCCCTGGGACTCCCCTGGATCGCTGTCCTTCTAAGGACCGACCAGGGCGAGCCAATGGCGTGGCCCCGAGAGCCCAGAGCCGATGCTCTTGTAAGAGCCGGTCTGGTGACTAAGGGTGCCGTGATCCCAGCTTGGCCAGAGCTGGATCAGCTAGCCTCCCCTAGCTCTCGAGTGGAGGACCTGGGAGTAGGCTATCCGGGATAGAGATAGTGGGATCTCCCTGTTAGACGGGTGAAGGGGCCGATACCCCTTCGAGTGTTGTATACCTTGGCCTGTATTGAGTGAAACGGTTAATAAATAAGTGTGCCTCCGACTACAACGTCCAAGTCTCATTGAACCTACTACACAGGTAGGGAGGCTGCCCACATGATGTGCTGCCATCTGTAGATTAGCCAGTGTCACAGCACGTGATGATCCACCATCGACCTTAATCTGTGCGATGCACCTACCTCGCCTCCAAACAGTAATATTAATGCAGTACATTTGGAATTTGCACAAATTATTATCGGGCAAGGCAATCACAACAACAACTGCCGTTCACCACTAATTGGTGATGACATCACCATGGCACTTGTGCCAGGCGAGGTGTACTTTGAGGCTATTTGATGTGTCTAAGGTTCACCGGCAGGTCACAAAACACACCCAGGTGCCTTGGGTTGACCGACTGCGATGACTGGCAGATACACCACCTGTGCTCCCCACTGTTCCAACTTGTTGCGCTTCAGCCACCCGGCGCTCCGCTCATTGTTGTTGCTGGACAGCGACTGCCTCCAACTGCCCAGTAGCGTCCTTCACGAACCTCCTCTTGAGGCCGATCTCGACACCGCTGGTGCCGGTTAACGGGCAAGTCCAATGAGCTCCACATTCATCTGTACCACATCAGTGCATCTTTTTTTCTAGCCCGTGCTGCGCCCCATTTAGCTCCCTCTATCAACCACAAAGGTGCTGTTTCACAAGTCTGTATAGTCATCTAGTAGGGTGGGTGACCCGCAGTATTAACTAGGGTGGCCGCTGGGCTCTAACCGTGAACCTCTGTGACAGGCGGCAAACGCGCTACCGTGCGGACATGTTCACTGCCCCACAGCGTTCCACCGTTACAGGCTTGCACCACATCGCCAGCCGATTCTGAACAGTGTTTCAAAGTTTAACTTCATTAAGGCTGCTGGGAGAAAAATCTGTAGTCATTAAAGCCTAGAAAAAAGAATACTGGGGGAAAAAAAGCCAATTTTGTGCTTGCCAACAAATTTCTTTCGTGTGTTGGTTACACAATTGGCAAAGGAGCCACAAAGCTGAAAACATTGGTTATCGTGTAGCCTCAGGACCTTGTGACAGGAATACTAAACAACATGCATATTACTCTATACCAAAACAAACCTACAATTTACGATATGTATCGTCTGCCTATTTATTTCGGTGTTTCTACCCTCCACAGCGATGATCGTGATTATGTTGTGCAACGTATTGTGCCTTTTTGCGTCGATCATCCGCCAGCAAACATCTGGCAGTTTTACCAGCGTTGATTCGAGCAGAGTCTGACTTTTGCAGATTAAACGATGAATGCCGACACCAGTCCAAAGTGCTTGTGTCGAACCGATGCTGCCGATACTATACACTGGTAGAAGGCCATGTGGCTGGAAGGATGTGTAAAAAAAATGTTTTTTAAGCGGAAGGACCAATATGGGAAGGAGGCTTATGGGCTGCTCCTTTATTGCCTATATTCTACACAGAAATGCTAAGGATTTATTATTTGGGTTTTTCGGTAAAGTCACGTAGATAGGTTCAAAGAAAATATCAAAAAAACTTTATTCTTTGTTATTTTATTTGAACCTAGGTTCAACCTAAAATAACAAACAAAAAAAGTTTTTAACAAAAAAAGAAAGTTTTTTTGTTATTTTCTTTGAACATATCTATGTGAATTTACCGAAAGACCCAAAGCTTTAAGTGAGGATGCTAATGATCATGTTGTACAATTTATGTTACTGTTTACTTGTTAAATAAAATCAATTTACACATTGGGTTTCGGGGGCAGTGCTGTATCGTGTGTACTCTAATTTTTTAATCAATGAATCTATGCACTGGTACATGTTTAGCCTTTATAATGTAAGATTGTATAATTCCCTGCAGAAATAATAGGCCTGAATTGGAATAAAACCATTCACTGCATGTAAATTGAGTTAGGATGCTAACACCTCGGCTGCCAAAAACGATTACAATTAAAACTTTCGCATAATGACATTACATGATTTAAGAAATGTAATCAGTGCTACATTTGTGAAGTTATGCATGTGTAGAGTAGTAACTCGGCGGGAGACGACTTCACGGGTAGCACACTCTTTATTTCACCAACTTATAGTTACACGGGTGACTAACACCCACTTAGTTACACGGGTGACTAACACCCACTTAGTTACTCGGGTGACTAACACCCACTCAGCTACTCGGGTGACTAACACTCACTTAGCTACTCGGGTGACTAACACCCACTCAGCTACACTGACACGGGCTCCTACGCCCCGTAGCCTTCCGGAACACACCCGGCCGGGGTGTCCGTCTCGGCTCTGGGTACCACCGTCCCGACCCACGCGGGCGTCGGACTACGGGTCCCCCAGTCTCTGCTCCGAGCCACACAGGGCCCCGGTCCTGACAAGGACGGCGGGACTAGGGGTCTCGGGCCACTACCTCCTCCACTCCGTCTTCGGTCTTCAACTGGTTAACAACACCTCGAGTGCTCTCGCGCGTCCCCCTTTATGCACCTCCTGCGGACGTCGCTGAGAGCACCCATCCTATTTGACCAATCACTGCGCGCTGGCTACGATCCTCTTTTCCCACCTTGTGTCAGCGCGCCTCACCACCGGCGCGCGCGTCCATACCACGCCCACATCGCGTGCCCAACCCCGCGCCCCGTGATCCATCACTGTCGGCGCACGTCAACACCACCACTACACTTGTATACGTCTCATACATCTCAAAGCATTGCAATTGTTTGCCATGGTTTGGCAAAGTCATGAACACCTTTAACAACAGCAAAATACAATTAAATTGCTTCCAATTTCAGCTGGTGAGCAGCAGCAGAATTCAAAATGTTGGCGACATGAAAGATGCATACCATGATGCACAACTAATTTGAAGTGATTGTGCATCTGGCCATGAGCTTCACTAATCCGCACATGTACAGCAGTCGTTATCATCATCAGCCATGGTCAATCCACAGCCGGATGAAGGCCACCCCAAACCACTCCCACCTCTTAAAATCCATGAGCGGATTTCATAGATGCCCTGTCGGATGAGTTCCGTTCCTCGGTTGTGACTCCATTATTCGTTTCACCGTCCCTTTGGGGTTAATGAAAGTAATTCTAAGTTGTAGGAAGTATTCTTAGTCTCGTGTCCTGCTACCAGGGTCGTATGTTTATCGAGCCAACAGACCAACAGGTGCTACATACAACAATATCCACCACTGGCTCAAGATCATACACACAGGTGAACAACATTGCTCACTCATCTGAGCTACGATTTTGCTCGAAGTTTACCCAGGATAGACTCACTGAGTCTCAATAATTTTTTTCTGCTAGAGGATTCTACTGAGGATGTTTGGCCAATTCTGTACGCGGTGTGTTTGCCTGTTGAAGAACACATTCCTGCGGAGGGAGCTGGTAGGAACGTTGGGTTTCTCGGTCAATGGCCAGGGTCAACGGCGGCGTGGTGTATTTCGCAAATATATGCCCGACTGTGAGGACGGGCATAAGCCAGCGTGAGTAGGTTAAACGTTGAGTTTTATAAGGGCACCACGGGGTGACCAGCCCTTCCCCACCCAGCCCCACCCCTCCCACCCCCCACCCAGCCTCACCCTCCCCACCCAGCCCCTCCCCACCCCGCCCAGTCCCTCCCCACCCAGTCCCTCCCCACCCAGTCCCTCCCCACCCAGCCCCTCCCCACCCAGCCCTCCCCACCCTCCCATCTCCACCCAGCCCCACCCCTCCCATTTTTGGATGCACGACGGACGGACACAA